CATATAAGGATGGATGAGTGTTGGCATTTCTAGTGGTTTAGGATTAATGGTTTGTTAGCAAAAAACCAAGGCCCCTCAACAAGGATGAGGTTACATTGTTCAGTACTTGAAAAGCGGAACTCAAATAATCCTTTCTCTGAACTGGTCACTCTAAGTAGAACCTTATTAGACCAGAGTGTAGTAGCAATGTTCTTCACCATTCCAAAGGGGAGACATTTATGCACAAAGTAGCCTAACATATTGGCTTTCATATGTTTCATTCCAACATGCTCAATTTCAGGAGGTGGTGAAATGATATACAATCAAAAGGCTCAGTATGATGTACAAATTTGAGTGGTATTCTTGATGGTGGTTCATTGACAATGGATGCCCAGTTTGGAGATAAACTAGTGTGATTATGATGTGTAACTAGATTGGGAGGGGCATGGTTAGTGTGAGGGATATTTGATGATGGTGATTAGTTAGGCTCATGGATTATAGATAGGGTAAGGAAGTGGGTATGTCAGTTATAGGGTCAAGAGGTTTGCTTAAAATAGGGTTGGAATATTCCCGAGGAGGTGGAAAGCGGGAAGAGGTTTTACCTGGAGGGTATAAGAACATGTAATTGAATTCAAATTCCAATTTGTTGCTGCATGCAGCATCTTCGAGGTAGTTGATGTGATGTTTGTGGTGGTGCTATGCCTTGGAGGTGGACTTTGATCAGTGGTTGCTGCTTTGATCTGCTGTGAGAGAGATCCTCCTCTTAGAGCTTGAGTAGATCATCATCATGTATGAGAGGAATATGGTTGGAAGTGGTGATTTGATCACATAGGTCATTAATTCTGGCCATCAGTTTGGCTTGGCATTTGAGTCTATTCAACCTCTTCAAGGAGATGGTTGTATCTGTAGTTGCTTTTGAACTCCATCAAGTCAACACACAGCCTATATATTTCATTAATCAAGGCCTGAGTGATACTAGGATCAATGTCAGCAAGGACATTGTTATGATCATCAATAAATTTAGAGGAAGGTCCCCTAAGTGAGCTGTTGTGCTTAGAAGCATAGAATGTAATTTTTTTTGCTGCTGATAGTTGATATTAGGGTGGGAGAAGTGTTGTAGAGGGTGTTGTAGATGGTTTTTTGAGGATAGCAGTGGCCGCTGGTCAGGTGGATGGTGATCATGAGGTTGATAAATAGTTGAGTGGAAGGAAAGGTGGTTAGGTTGAGGATTCCGGTAAGATGGGCGACTGGTTTGAGGAGCTCTCATGGATTTGTCACATGAAATCACATTTATTATTTCACATTTTATATAATTGTTTTTTACTATATGGACAAATATTGAAAACATTTTACACATAGAATAGCATACAAGTGTACAAGCGCTCTTGAGGCGCTCCCGTTTAGATAATTTTAGATGTTGCCGTTTTCACACTCCTGCTCTCGCATGCGCTTTCACTCTTGCTACTACTCTATGTGGCTTTGATCAAGAGTTCTTTTGTATATTTTGCAGCTATATATACTTGTCAATGTATAGCACTTTTGAGGTATATGCATTCAGAAAACAATCTCTCTACTTCTTTGAAGCAGGAGTGTGTAAGAACTTGTAAAGAACGTCCAGAGACAGACTCAAAAAATTATGAGAGAGGCTGCCTTCAACAACAGCAAGACAAGCCCTAAAAAACATGCCATTAGTGAATAAAGTAAAGGGCCAAGAGTCATTTTCAATTGAAGAATCTAGAGTGCCTGGACCAGCAATTAATTGTTATGCAGATGACAACAGTATGGAGAAGTCTAACTTGTATTCAAAATCGTTACTTACTCAATGATTATGACCAGCAATTAATTGTTATAATAAGGAATTCAGAAATATCACATTAGCATAAAATAAAATAAAATAAAATAAAATAACGATATGATGATATACAATTATATTTAAAATGTTTTGAAAGCTTAGAAAATATCATCAATTTGGTTGAGTGGAGGTAGAAAGAGAGGAAGGGAAGATAAACTAGGGATGTCTCCTGCTTACATTGTATTACTATTAGAATCACTCCAGTCTCCAGGTCATGATCACATTCTTGAGGTAGTTTTTGTGAGTGCGAAAATACTGTAACTTTTTTGACCAATAAAAGAAGTATTGTAATTACGTGCATTCTTGAGGTTTGTCCTTATATTCTATTAGAGTTATAATTAATGTTAATGTCATGAGTTGGGTAATCTTTCACTAATTGGTTGAACATCTAAAGTGGGTGGCCTAAAGTTTCCTTTTCATTTGATTAGAAAGAAAAGAAAGGAGAAAGAAAAATATACTCCTCTGATCACTCTCTCTCTAAATGCATCAATCTTGTAAAAGTTCTCTTTGTTTTTCTTTTCCTTTCTTCTATACTCTTATTTTCAATTACCTATAACCAAACAGTCTGATTTTGCTAGATGACCAGGGTTTCTGTTTTTGTTGGAGTTGTACCAAAAATATGTGAGAGAGAGAGAGAGAGAGAGATACTCCTAAATTATTCATTCTCTATAATTTAAGATGCATCTTTATGTTATGCAACTTCAATTCCATCAGATTTTTAACTCACTCAAGAGAGAGAGAGAGCAGAAGAAGAAGAAGACTATTTCAACTTCAGTATACTTTTCCTTGTACATGAGGAAATACAATTATCTTACCAATAATTATATTTATCTTAGAGTAAGAATACTGGTTGATAGTATTACACTTGCTGAAAGTAAATGTAATCTCAGTACGTATACATACACACACACATATATATATATGGACTCAACATAAGAGCATCATATAGCTTACCCTTTATCAAAAAAAAAAAAACCATAAGAGCATCATATACCGAGCATATATTGTTATGTTTTTCTTTCTTTGATTTTTCCTTGATAAGATGGTTATAACTATGGTCTCGTGACATAAACACTATTCAAATTGCCGAATCATAACAAGAAGACAAACATCTTTCAAATTTTCGTTATTGCATGAAAGATTCTAAGACAATGGCTCTTTTCCAAGGATAATGGCATGTCCATGTGTAAACTAACATTCACAAAATTTAGATGCCAAAACTGCTCCATATAATCATTTTAGTTAGTACTGAAATATCTTGAGTAATACAGGAAAAAAAATGGCGGAAAATATAAGAAAATCAGATTTTATTCTTGAGGATTTCAAAAATAAAAATAGGAACTAATTCCATCCCTTCAAGAAACTAAAGCTTTCAAGAATAAAAGGGAATATTCTAATAGTAGACATATATTATCTCCTAATCCTGCAAAGTTTCAATGCATGCACTCTAATTTTTCATTTTAATTTTTTTTTTTTTAAAAGTTTTTATCATGAAAATATGACAACCTATCAGGATATTGTTTCAATGCATGCACTCTAATTTTTCATTTTAAATTTTATTATTTTATTATTTTTTATTTATAAATGCACTTCATTTTTAATGTGAATTTTCATTATTGTCCTTGATTCAATTCAAGTGAATCAAGTAAAAGGCATACAAGTCCTTTAAAAAAAAAAAAAATTTGAAGCGTATTTACAATTTTATTTTCCCTAACGGTAAAGTAAACACACACCCTTTTGCCTAAGCTCGGGTCCTCTCCCTACTCTTTGAGAATAGAGAGGTTACGGTTAGACCACTAGGCCAGAGGCCCTTGGGAGTGCATTTACGATTTAACTTAAGCTAAAACATAGTATTACATATGAAACCTGATTTTCTGTGCAATATTAATTTGTTTTTAATTTAAAATTAATGTAATTGATTGTTAGCCTGTTTAACAAGTACATAAGAAATCAAGGAGAAAAAACTCATCAATCAGTACTTATATATTGAGTAAAATATACCAAAATTGTCAGCTTATAATTCCCTACTATATTATCCTTCATTCACTAAGCTAGTTGTACTCCTTCCAATTGAACCATCAACAACCATTAGTTCCAAATACCTTATTATGTATTCTCATCCAATTATCTAAAGTTCTATGACGTGTTTTACAGATTTATTATGGTTTTCTTGTAAATATGGTAAGAGCAGTGATAGGCTCAGTGAATTCCGTGAACAGAATCACAGCTCCTTTTGAAATTAAAATGAAGAATAAATTCATATAGACCAAATTGTGTAATGGAGAAGGCTAGCAGAGTGTTTCTTATCATTGGATGCATTACGTAAGGCCAAAGCTTTGATCTTATTCAATGCATCAAAACTCTCCGCGTAACTTAGACTATTCGGTTTGAATAGTATTATCCTTCAATTACTTCCAATCCATATATATATATATATATATATATATATATATATTCAATGTGTTGACTTAAATGGATAAGAACTTGGCTATGATGTCTCGGGAAGTATCAAGTCTAATGTTTGAATCGTATATTGGCACCTGCAAAGTCAGCTGAGTTCTTCCTCAGTATCAACTCAGTTCTTAGTGACTATATATACAGAGAGAATACGAACTAGTTCATACTATATAAACAAAGCAGAAATTATCAACAGAGAGCAAATAAATTTTAATTTTTCTCCGAAGATAAAACTAGTATATTGATGAGTAAATATGTATAGCTCTATAAGAGGAGACGGGTAAGGACAGCTATATTTTCTTTGGGCAAATAACTTGGGTAAGATATAGAACCACAGAATTACAGACCATTAAAATCACAACTTACAATTTACCCACAAAAAAAAAAAAAAAAAAAATCACAACTTACATTTCGCTTTTCAAGCTAGGATTGTTACAGCTATATACTTTATTCTTGCAAATTAAAACGCAGTTTCTTCATGCATGCTAAATATATATATGCTACTAGTACTGAAACTTGCCAACACCACCATGCTCTTCTGTGTCTCGCTTTATTGGATTTATCGGTATTCTACACACCTCTATATAAATAAATAAATATATATATATATATATATATATATATGTGCTAGCTCAATGCACCGAGACTCTTGGAGTTTGAGAATGGTAAGATTTACACAACATATATATATATATATATATATATATATAACTCAAGTAGAGTAGCAATCAACAATATTTCTCATGACCTGTACCTGGGTGGTGAGGCACTTTATGTAGTGTGCAGTCTCTGCCAACAAGCTTAGCATATCCATGGCTTCTCCTCCGGGCACGAGCTTCCGGAGCTTGTTGGCCCGCCCAAGTCTCTCTCTTCTCCTTAATAAGGCCCCAGACCTCCTTCTTCCTCTCACAGAAACGCGGAATCGGATTCTCCTAAGCACGGCGCGACTCCATACCCGCCTTGACCCGACCGCTGAAGCCATGGATGCATTAGCAGCAAACTTAATCAGACGATAACGATTATATATCTCTATAGCACAAGATGAAGTGTTACTATTTATGGGTTTGTCCTTGTTCAATCTCTTGAAGCCTCTAAGAAACCTATAAGCAAACCTAGTTTTAATGGAAGAACCATTAGAACTACGTTTTAAGGTTAAGCTACAAGGAGCCATAGAAACCAAAAATGAGATAGAGAGAGATTGAAAGAAAAATTAGGGTTTTGGAGATGGGTATATATGTATGTAGCTAGCTTGTTGTGATTATATATATATATATATATATATATATGTTAGTACAAAGGGGCTTCCTTTTGGAGATAAAGATTTATTCTGACACAGGGGGTCCTCCTTGCTCGGAAGGACAAAAGGAAACTTCAGTTCTGATCATTATTTCTGACACAATATCCACTTATACCAAACAGGAGATAGAGAGAGAGAGGAGAGCGAAGGGGATTGGAAATGGAAGGGTGAGAAAAGAGAGGAGAATTAGTTTGGAATTAATTTTTTAAAAATGTGTTAGATATAGAAATATATAATTGGATGAGTAATGGGCTTTCGTCTTTCATTTTCAGTAATTGGGTTTGTGGGTGAAAAGTGAGTTTTGTGGGCCTACAAAAGGACCAACTACCATATGGTCGCACATGCTTCCATTACCCACTTGGATAGTGGGACCTTCTCATTTTTTGTTGCCATTATCATTCTGTTCTTTCTACGTAACTACTATATTATATAGACACACAATATATATATATATATATATATATATATATATATATATATATATAAATTTTGTTTATTTAATCTCTCGCTTTTGGTCACTATATATATATAATATATATTTTAATTTTGTTTATTTAATCTCTCGTTTTTGGTCACCATAGAATGACGACTTGCGCGAAGGCGGCCAGAACAAATTAATACGTGAAGTTTGTTTGAGTTGGGTCGAAGTTTGATGTAAAAATAATTTAGAGGGGTTGAATATTTGTTTGATTCTTTATTTTATTTATAAATTATTTTAATTTTTTATAATTAAATTAATAATAACCTACAAAGTAACAATAAAATGCAAGTAAATAAAATAAAATTTGAGAGATAGGTCGAAGTTTTTGGCGTGGAAATCCTTGTTAGAAGAAAACCGATCAATCGGGACAAAAGTCACATAGACTTTCACCGAGCGAAAGGATTTACTAATTCTTGAAGTAAACTACAATAGCCTCTGACTCAGGCTCACACCCGCACCGCTCTACCAAGAACTAATTACTGAACATTCTAGGCTGACTCTCACGACTCTCTGTCCAATTGCTGCAAAGTTCAGGTTGTAGAAGGGCTGTTGGTTGATCATGAACACTCCGCGAATGCTTTGACCCCATCATTGTACGATCGATTCCTCATTTCCTTCAAGTTCTGAATTTGTGAAGGCTAAAAGAAAATCCTGCTTTGCTTTTTGGAGTCTCTATGAATTGCTCGAACTTCGATAAAAAATAAAAATAATATTAAAAAAAAAAGATCATGCCTAAATCACTCTCGTGTTTAAGTGTGTGCTCTCAAAAATATAAAATCCGATTTTTCTGAAATCTCTCTAAAAAAGCTTCAACAATGATATAAAAATAATTCGATGTTTTTCCCAATTGAAGCATTAAAATACCTAATGGGGCTAGAGGTTTGAAAGGTTTATATAGACTAGAGAGTTCTCAAAATATATGAAAAGTTGTTTTAAAATCGTAAAATGACTTTGCTAAAAGTTTTAGTGCAAACAGGATACTAAAATGTTACCAATAACTGAAATACGACACATTCAAGAAAACGCAACCGGTTCTGTTTAAAATGCGCGCAACTGGTTCTATTTTTACTAAGAGCAATTCTGATCACTGGAACTAAAACGATTGTGTTTTAAAGTGCAACCAGTTCTGTTTTGGTCGAGAGCTATGATTTGACTTGCATGAAGTGTAACCAATTCTATTTTGAAGTGAAACTAGTTACACTTTTACGGAGTCTAAAAATAAAAATGTTTTGACTCAAAAAATTCAATGCTCTCACAACCAACTCAAAATATATATGTGCAATGTGTTCCCACTCACAAACCTGATCTAAATGATGTTCTCATTGATCTGGAGTAGGCATGCACTTGTTGTTTCGCTTCTGACATCGAGATTCAAAAGTAAATAAAAAATTACAACTCAATCGAACACGTTGTCAAATTTATATCTCACAAGTTGAATTATGGCTATAAACCAGCCGATCGAGCTATGTTCATGAACATATCAGGCTTGACTAGTGTAAAGGTTAGCTCGAACTTGTTCAGTAAGTAAATAAGTCGAGTTGGAGTTCAATTTCTAGACTTATTTAGTAAACGAGCCGATTTGAAGAGTATTTGGCTCGACCAAAAATATTTTAGCCTAATAGTACTTCCTCACTTTCCAAAGTTGAAGGTCGATGGTTCAAGTCCCCAAAGAAACAAAGTGGAGTGTAGGGGTGGTGTGTAAGTGTGTTTCTTTTCTATATATGAAAACTTTAGCACGAAAAATGCTCTCTTTTTTAAACTGTGTTTCTTGCCAGTGAAAAAATATTGGGCCTGACTCCTGTAGACTCGTGGACATAAGTTCATGTAGACTCATATACGTTTATGAATAATATAGACTCGTATTGTGCACGTGAACACTTTAATAAACATAGGCTTGTGTAGCTTTATGAACGTACAATTATGAACATATGCATTTTGAACACGAGCCCAATTCGAGTCCAAGCGACTTTTATTATCAAAAGAGCCGAGCCCGAGGTGATTCTGAACTTTTCAAAAAAATGATGACCTGAACCTTTCTTGAGCTTACCGCAATCTTTATCTGAGCTCGAGCTGAGCCCACAAATGAACTTTAAGATATACAGTTTGTGAATTGGCAAATTAATTTCGGTGTCAAAACTTGTTGATCGAATTGTAATTTTTGTTTATCTTGATCTCGGTCTTTCGGAACCGAATGAAGTATGTGTCAAGACCGTCGGATTGGATGAAATATCAATTAGAAAGGGTATGTGAGTGAAGTCACTTTATATTTCGTGTTTGGTGTGGTAAGACTTAAGAAAAATAGGTTTTATTGAAAATTTTGAAATCCAAAAAAGTTCAACAGATTGTACTTTTTGTCCAACAACTGGTTGAACTTTCCTGAAACCCAAGTTTTCTCTCTATAAAATTCCAACCGGTTTCACTTTTCTAACATCTACAAGATTTCAGTTTTGGTAACTTTTAAGTTTCATGTTTGCGCCAAAATTCTTAAGGAAGTCCTTGTATGTTTTAAAACTTATTTTTCATATATTATGAGGATTCTCTAGGCTATAAAAATCTCTAAAAAAAAAAACTTCAACCCTAGTATTGCGTCACTAGGAACTTTTTTTTATAGAGATTTTGAATATATATATATCTCCTTCTTGGAGCTCACATTTAAACACGTGAGTAATTTAGGGTGATGTTCATCTGGTCAACGGAATTTTCTGTCTGCTTCACATTACAAATTAAGATTGATTTCTTTTAGTTTTCACAAATTTAGATTTGAAGGAAATGAGTAATCGATTAAACTACAAAAGGGTTAGAACATTCGTGAAGTATTCGTGATCTACTAGCAATCCTTCTACAAAGATCAAAGAATTATCAATTCTAGAGCATTTGGATGGGGGAGTCGCTAAGCTCGTTTAACCTTCTTTTTTGGGCTTTTAAATGATCTAAAGTCCTTAATAGCTCCTCTTCTATATCATCTAGCTCGATGTTCATCGCCTCTTTGTATTCATCAAGGGTTAATTCCAGAGGTGTTCAACAATTGGCTCTAGGTAGTGCGGAATTGGAGTGAACCTAAGTCAAGGTCCATTGTACTTTGCTTCAAAAATAGTGGATTATTTCGCTCGAGATTGCATGGGAGTCTCCGAGGTTTTTCTATCAATTGGATGATTTTCTCTAATTAATATTTACTATCTAAAAATCCTACATATTTTTGTGATTGAGATGTGCAATTAATAGTTTGTAATTAATCACAAAAATCAAGCAAGTTGACATATTCACTCCCTCTGGGTCATTAAAGTATTGTTTCCAACTGAATTAACAATAACTTCCCGAAGAAAAAAAAATAATAAAAAAAATAACAGTTTCCACATTGCACTACTCACACGAATGAGTCGAGCCTAAACAAACTCAAGCTCGACTCGACTCAGTTCATTTGTTGCCTTAGGTAGAATTATTTTATAAACTGTGCTAAGCACGCGACTATACAAGTTTTGTTGGAAAACGTGCAAGTTTTAAAAACTTTCTGGGGGATTTTCATACATAAATATTGATTCATCACATAGAGACAAGTTTTATGCAAAAACAAAATATGATATATTATTCAATTAATAGATTGAATACTTACATCAAAGATTTGAGTAAACTTTTAAATCTTTCCTCTAAAGTAAATATTTTCACTTATTGTAGATCCTTTAATAAGATCCTTTCTCTTTTTTCTTGATAGTGATCTTCCCTTTAGGAATCACCAATATACATCGATGAATGACCTTAGAGGTAAGGCTTGTGGTAGGTTCCTTTAGAAGAGAAAACAAACCCTAAAAAACTAGAGAGAGAAAATATCTTCCTTATTCTTACCAAAGTCTCTCCTAAAATATACATGGACCGATGTATATATATAGGCAAAATAAAGATAAAGAAAGTAAATAATAAATCATTCTCAATCTCTAATTCACATATCTTAATTCTAATAGGACTCTAATATCAACTTGGGTTATGGGTGAGAATCCTTTGGGCATATTATTCTCTTGGCTACTATAAATCAATAATTGATCTGGTCCATTAAACTATGGACCCAATTCAATTAATTCATAAATTAATTTCTACTCTACTAAAAGAAATTAATTGCACTCCAATAAAATAGTAAATAACCTCTAAGTCAATGTTGCACTTTGACCCCTCTATGCATAATTATTTATCAGATTATAAAGCCATCAATTCGACAACATAATTAATATAATTATTTTGTTACCTTTGATTATTTCTGCCTTGATCACAATAAAATATTTGTTTGACAAAAATAATAATTTACTAAATAAATATATAGAAAACATTTTGTCCAAAACATACGAAGGCTTTCGAATTTAATTTGTAATCAATCATAATCAATACAAAATAAATACAAGTAGCA